CACTCCTCAACACTCGGTCTAGATATACTATGTCTATGGTTTCATATCTCCAACCCCATCCCACACATATGTACGCCATTTTTATTTATGTGTGGGGGCTCGATAGGGTTGAGTGTTGAGTACGGACAAATAACATTTTTAGTGCGAACAAAATTTTGCAATAGTTCGAGAGTCGATTAGTGAAATGTATCGTCTCGTGATATTTAAATGATGCCGGCCATCGTTACATTTACATGCGCGATCTTTGCGTGAGTGACTGTCCGTGCGAATGGTAATCGTCGTGAACGCAACTTTCGTTCTCTCCCAACGCTCCTGTTAATAAAATGGATCATCGCCAAAAGGTCAGCCAAATACACGACAAAAATATTGTGTTCCTTGACATATTTTTCGTTCGTCGATGAAAAACTAGAATTAAAAGAGACTAATGAAAGGTGCACTTCTTTTTGACAACCTCAAATAGATTTGTTCGTAAAAAAGGGAAATTTATTTCTTCCCGCACAAACAAACAATACTCGTATCTTCTGATAAATTTGTCTGTTTGTGCATGCTTCTCGTACATAAACTTGTTTATATTTTTCACTATCCCCATTCTGCTGTAAAATGTCATGTGTGGATCTGGTATAGAATTTAATCTATTATTTACGCCTTATTAGATGGTTGTAGTTCCTCAACAATCAAAAATTAAAATCGAGGATGACGACGACGAGGATGTAGAGGCGCTGAGATTGGCAGCGCTTAAGTCGTTGCGAACTAAAGATGCCACGCATAAGAGGCCAGCGTTATTACAGATGCAGAAAGTTTTTCCACAAGTAACGCAACCATCTCGTCTCCCATATAAAGGTCCACGGCCTATAAAGAGAAATTTCAATTATCACAACAGGTCACAACAAAGACAAAATGGGGTGAGCTTTTAAATTGTGCAATATTTTCAAGTAACTAATTTTACATCGGAAAATAAAGATATATACAATTCATTGTGTTTTTCGTTTTATAATACTTAAGATATGTTTGAATAAATGGTATATTAAGTTTTCAAAATATATGTAGAGCAAGATTTATATTGTAATTTATAAATGATTAATTATATATCAACACACGTTAATATATTTGTAATTTATACTTGCAGAATGTGTATTATCAGAGCCCTCGTAATCCAAATCTAATAGCGATAGTTCCTGTAGATGAACCTTCTCCAATTCAACAGGCCCAGTTAGCTTCTGTAGAAAAGACTGAACCATGTGTAGAATCACATCCACAAGGTATCATACTTTTACTTAATTAATATTGATTGCACAAGATTAATATTGATGAATGCATTTTTTTTTTTCAAAAATTAAATAATTAAAAATGATTGTATTAATGATTTCAGAAATGTCGAAATTTCATCGTTTTAAAGACAGTGGAAGTGCTTCAGAAGAAGAAGACGCAAAGGAGCAAAAAAGTAATATAACTTCCGTAAAGACAGAAATTATAGCAAAGAAGGAACCAGAAGAATCTTTGGTAGAGACAGAAAGTCAGAAGGAAGCTACAGAGAGTTTGCAAAAGAATGGAGATAACCAAGAAGAAGATGGTAACGACGACGACGATGATGTACTCTTAATGGCTGATCTTGAGGAAGAAGACAGTTTAGAACGCTTAATGGATGAGATGGAAAGGGAAATGAATGATGGAAATAAACCGTCTGAGAAAAAAGAGAAAAAATTGAATAGAGGCGAAACTAAAAATGTAGTGAAGGATGACGAAGGAAACAAAAATTTTGATCAAAAAATGAAATCGGACGAAAATTGCAGCAAGAAAGAGAGAAACAACACAATTACCTCGTCTCTGACTGCGATCGTCAAGAATGATAGACGATCAGTTTCTCCGCACGTAACGAACCGGGTTGGTCAAAAACGCAAGTCACTGTCTCCAAGGTCACGGTCACGGAAGAAATCACCAAGAAGATCTCCCAGGAAATCCCCCATCAGACAGCCGAAAAGATCTCCGAGAGAATCAACGAGATATAGATCACCACGCAGATCTCCGTCGTCGCGATATTCTCGTAGATCCACATCACCCAGACTTTCGCCGCGCAGATCCCCAAACAGAACATCCACGAAGAGATCGCCGATGAGGAAATTATCCCCGAGAGGCAGATCGCCCAAGCTTTCGTCACGTTCCAGATCGCCCCGTCCGCACAGATCGAGATCACCGAGACGATCGCCTCGATCAAAGTCTCCGAGGCTGCGTTCGCCCAAGATATCACGCTCCAGATCGCCGAGATTATCGAGATCGAGATCGCCACGTTACTCGCCACCGCTCAGATCGTCCAGATCCAAGTCTCCCAGATTATCGCCAAGAAGAGTATCGCCTCGTCGATTGAGATCTAGATCTAGATCCCCCGGTTTGTCTCCTCCTCGGAGAGGATCGCCTCGCTTGCGGTCACCGAAAGTGTCACCGCGTAGAACACCACCTCGATTGAGATCACCGCGATTCTCGCCTCGCAGATCACCATGGTCATCCCCGAGACACTCACCCCGCCTTTCGCCGCGACGAAGACGATCTCCCAAGTGGTCACCTAAAGAATTACCCAGGAAGCACGGGCCACGTTCCATCACTCCGGACATTAATCGAGATGAGTATGCGAGAGACCCGTCTCCGATTTTCAAGAGTACAGCGTCGCCAGAAATATCCAGAGTGAGGACAAAGCAAAAGGATGAAGCGTATGAAAGATCAGCAACGACGATCGAAACAGCGAAAGAATCCGTTGATACGATTAGCGATCCCGTGCTCGAAGCAAGAAGAAAGAAGTTTGAATCTACGCGGCCTATCGATCCTGTAAATGCCAATAAAAAGATTAAATTATCCAAGAAACATACCACGAATATGAAAGTAGAGTCCTCGGAAACAACGGAGATTCCATTAGGTGGTAGAAAGGCGAACAAAACTCTGGAGGAGTTTGATGTTCAGCAGATGGATATATGCTTGGCGGCGAGTTATGAATTTGAGGAGTTTGAAGAAGTGGTAGAGAATACATCACCGACTATTATTACAAGCTCTGTAAATACGTGCATAGATGTAGAGCCGCAAAAAACGGAGAAAGAAAAGTCTATGAAGAAAAAGAAGAAGCGCGATAAAGAATTGTACCAAGTGGGAAAATTGAAAAGCGAACTGCCGCTTTCTGAACGTATCGGAAAAGATAAGAAGTGTAAGAAACGTAAGGAGATAGATTCCGAAGAGGGTATAGACGCTATATTCGAAGATATAGCGGTAGATGAAGAAGGAGATTTACGAACGGAACTCAGTAGAAGGCGCGCAGAAAGATTGAACAGAACAGTACCAATTCAATCAGCTAGATTGGTTCAGTCAGCTTTTAAAGGCGTTGTTAATGAGTAAGTATCAGCATGTTATGTGATATTCTCGTTGTTTTCTTTTGACAATGTTACTTATTGCATTTCGCGTTTCTTTTTACAGGGTTGTGAAAAATAATGCAAAAGCTAATCAGAGACATGTCCTTAATACTGATGAAAAATGTAAGTAATAATAATATATTCAGCTGCTCAATATCTCTGTATATATTTCGGTGAACTTCTTTTTTTGACAATTTGTACAATTTCTTCTAATAACAAATGTTTCTCTTTCTACAGCTAATCAAAAGGAAGTTAGACGGGTTACTGTATTACATAGATCACTAACGGAATTACACAATTCTGAAGGTATTTATATTTTCTTGTAACATATTATACATTAACATAAGTATCTGTAAGTTTCGACTTATAACATTTGTTAATATTTGTTGATAATTCGTTGAAAAAATTGTAGAGTATTTTATTTTTTTAAATGATTATTAGTTCTATTATTATTTTTCGCATACACATATAAAGAAAATATTTTACATTCACGAAAATAATCAAAAATGAAATTTTTAGTCTGGACTAAATTTAGTTATGTTCTTATTTTTCATTTACAGACGAAAGTACTCTTGATTCGAAAGTACCTGTGCGTTTCAGACTGGGGCTCAACAAACAAGTGCAAGAGTCCAGAGAATCCAAGGTTACTCGAAAAGCATCCAAAAGACAGGGTCGTAAGGTAAAGCACAAAAATCATTTGTCTACTCTAAAAGATCCTGAGCATATTTCGTAGTGAATAAATTATGCCTTTATATTTACTCTAGATTTGTAAATAGTATGGTAACCTCTTATCAACACGGTTTAATCGATATTGATATTTTGTGATACTACCAAGAGTTAAGTATATGTAAAAAAGATACATTTTGAAATATTCATACTTTTATTGAGAGATCATAATGGAATGATGGCAGATTCAAAAATAGCAAATAATAAAAGCTTTAAATTATTAGGCTCTATGCACAATATTTCGTTATAATCTTGCAAATTAGAATGATACAATCTAATATAATTCGAATAATGATCAATTACTATAATTGTATCAACTTAATAAATAACAATTCTTTGAATAATTAATGAAAAATATTTTAATAAACATTTTTTTGTTTATTATGGAGGAATTTTTTTTGTTAGGAATTTTTTTTTGTTAGAAATTATTTTAAATAAATAATTACTCATAAAAATAATTTATTAACTAAGTTATATAAAATTATCTATGAAACACAGTGTGAAATAATATTGTGTGCCTTTTAATAGTAGCCAGAAGATAATATGAATGCGGCGAAATAATTTGCGTTATTAATTTTGTTGAAAAAAATGAAGAATATTGTTTTTGTGAAATAGATATAGATATGAACAGATATAACAATACGAGACATGAAAAAAGGAAACGAGCAATTGTATAGAACATTTTCCAGAAATTGTTTGCAATTTAGTATTGCGTGATTCTAGACTCGAATCCAGTAGAAAATAAGAGTGATCTGTTTTTTGTTTAGGAATAAAATAAATCCGCGTTCGTCCGATTGCATATTTGAATGCAGAGAGAATAGCGGTTCATCTCTTACTGCTCATTATGTTGTCGACACATAGGAAGATGCGCTCATTACCGGTTATATTATGTCGTATGAAAAGCATCTCTTTTCTCTTTTCAAGCATAAAGTACAATAATATTAATAAAATATTGAGGATAATATCCAAATTTCGATACTTTTACGATTTAAATGTACTCGATTGTTTATCGCTTGCTTAGGAAAAGTTGATTACGTGTGATTATATTAAATCTGTTATATTGAAGATTGTGTGTATATAACTTACTTTGATCGCTCACCTAATAAACAAGAATCATTAATAATCCCAAAGCTATCTATTGCAAAACCTAAGTATATTTTATATGAGAATTAGTAATGTGTAGGCACATATCTTAATTGTACATAGCACTTAATTATACCGATCAAACTTAATAAGAATGTTGTAGTATAGCTTGTAAATTTGATTAACGATGGGTGTCGCGGCACCAAATATCCTGTACAAAAATTCAATTTTTGTTAAAATTTAATTTTAACGTCGCTAAACGATATATTTTTAAGCAGGATACAAATTCTTTAAGATCTGATTGACGATATTTTATAAATTGATATATTTAACGCTCATTTTTTTTACAATTAAGAAATTAAACAATTAGTATTAAAATATTAACGATGTGTAGAACAGAGAAGAATAATTGTTCTCTTATCTCCATACATTTTAAAAAATATGCTGGTAAAATTTACGGCATTTACAATTAATTTACATTTACGGCTGTAGTTTACGATCCTTTAAAAATGTAGAAAAATTGTATATGTTAATTTTATGGCAGATATTATTGCACATAATCCATTGTTATATATTTTTTATTGCACTTTGTGAGAAAAGTGCAATTATATCCTATTTAATGTATTTTACATAATTGTATTTAATTTTAACTACCGGAGTAACACGTATCTCGTTACTCTTTTAATTATATATTTCTATATTGACAATTAGGATATATAACATGCATCAGTACAGCGTATGTATAACCAATATGCGTGAACATTTTTTAGGCTGTTGTGCAGCTATGTACATAAATTTAATCTCTAATCTTCTGAAATGATGTTCGTATATCAAGCTAAATACCTCATAGTATCTATGAAGGTGTAAACGCTACTTTTACGTCAATAAAAACTAATATTACATTTTAGAGAAATTTTCTTCCATAAAATTGTTGCTACGAGCACCACAGTAGGAAACTTTTATTTATATATACATATA